CCACTACTAGACTGGATGGACCTGGCTTAATGGGGAAAGCTCCAGGTCTGCTGTTTTGTAGGGATGCACTTGTTTGCCTGAAATGCATAAGGCAGATAAGGCAGACTGAGACAGACTGACTATAAAGGTAGGCAGGATTTCTTTACTAGATTTTGCTGTCCTTTAAAATGTGGGGCCTTGGGTGATTGCCCAGTTTGCTCCCCTACCAGAAGCCATCACTGGTGGTAGTGATGAGATCAGGAGAGTTTCAGGCTGTTTGTGGCCTTGCTGGTGAACCTGCATCTTCAGGGCTGTTGCCCTGGGATTCCCTGACCTTGCTGCTGCTACCATGCCACACCTCACCCCACCCCAACAAGAATAGCACCACTGCCAGGGAGACTCCACTGTCTCTGTTCCCTTTCCTCCTGAGCCACTTCTGATCAGAAAGTTTCTTGGGTGTGTAACGATATCGCGATAGTGCAATATGATACCTTCCTTCTTTAAAGGATTGCAATATTGCACCAGGAGTTTAAACGATCATAGTATTCATATATATGGAAAAGTTTTAGTCTGTTCTTTTTTCCCCTAATGTTGATATGGATTTCTTTTTTCTTATTGAAACACTTAAAGGCAGTTTCTCTGGCTTCCAAGTACTTAACTTATGATCTAGAAGTGTCAATCCTCATTTCTAAGAAAGTGTGCAAATTGCAAGTCTGGTAATTTGGAGCAATTATACGCTTTCTTAATTACTAATTTGAGTAAATCAAGATACAGTAATTTCTGCACTGTGGGTGAGAATACACTAAACTTCAACCCAGCTGTTTCTGCTACTTTATATAACATGAATATTAATGCATTTTGATAACCAGAATAATTCATTGCTTGTCACAGATTGACATTCAATTAATAAAGAGGAATCATATTTTTTTCTGTCTCAGAATAGAACACCTAACAAAAAATTAATAGGAATGACTAGTAATAAGTCCTATATATTTAGAGGATGGATCAAACATGTGAAAATATTTGCCAGGATGCTTGCCATGCTCATTCTTAATTTGTTAATGTGTCAAATACCTGGAAGTATTTTGATAAACGTTCTCTCAAGATTCCCATTAGAGCTGGAAGAGGGAGATATTTTGGATGGAGAGATTTAAAAAAAAAATGGCAAGGAGAAAGGGAAGGGAAAGTAGTTAAATTTTCATTTGACAACCAGATACAACAAGTCAAAGAGTAACCTTCAAGCATCTAATAAATTGTATTTTTCTCAAAATTCACATGGGATTCCCTATCATTGACTCTTGCCCTCATTTCAACTTGGACCTCATTGTCAAAGTTACTTAAACATCATGCTACCTCCAAGGAAAGGGTAGCAAAATTCCCATCACAAATGGAAAATAAGTGAAATCATGATAGTTACCCCATTCAGTCTTTGGTTGAGGCTGCACTGCTTGCATCCTGTTTTGATGGGGTTGAAGAGAACTCTATCTAGATTAAAACGCCACCCGTTCCCACATAAATTGATCATAGGTGACATCCACTGTGGGCCATACATGTGTGGAATTAACTTCCACTCACAAAATGGGACCTTATCTTCCTTTCCCCCCACACAAGACCCCGCACATGCCCCAAAATTTTGCATACACATGCACACAGATATATAATTTCCTTGAATACAGCCTACCTCAATACCAATTATTCTTCATCCAATTCTTTTCAAAGTACCCCGTATTTCATTTTATGCATCTTCATTGTACACAAAGCCTCTCCTCCGGACACTTGGTTTTTCGCCTACCTCGTAGCAAATCGTCACAACTTTTGGGTATTGGCGGTTAGGCATTGGAATATGGTTGTGTGTTGGAAGGCAGGGTGTGGCCATCGCCTACCCCTCCATTTTATGGGTATTCCGGTAAAGGAATCAGCGGTCATGGATCCTGTCAGACGCCCTTGCTGGTGGCTAGGGCCATGGTACGACCCCCATTGACATCAGGGGGAGCTTTCAGTTGTATTTGCATCAACAGGCTCCTCTCACTGGTGGTTAACCCTTGATAGACTCACCCCTCCCTGAGGGGGTGGAGTCACGCTCTGTTGTTTTATCCAATGCCTAAGCCAATACCTCTCACATGCTGTAATCAATAAAGTTGTGGCCTTTTTTTGCTCATTAACCCAATATACCATGTCCATGTGTCTTTCTTATCCTCAAGCGGGTGGCGGGTCCTTGAATCACAAACTTGAGATGCTCCCACAAAAGGGGGGATAGAGGTTTAAATAAAAGACCTAGGACCTGAAGAGCACCACATGGAGCCTCAGAAATGGAACATCTTAGCCCCCCTTCCAAATGCTTCACCATTGCAAAAGGCACAGCTGACAGGGAGGGGCAATGCTGCGTATTTGGCCTCCTGGAAGCACCATCCTGGCAATGTGGTGGTAAGGTCACAGGTGGAGGCACTGGTTTGGCTCCATTGGTGCTCTTGAGCTGTTCTGACCTCCTTGCCACTCCACCTCATTTCTTTACTTCCGAGTTTGTGATGCTGCTTCTGGGTGGCCTCATCACCAGATCTTCTTGTAAATGCCAGAGACAAATGAGTCTCGGGACAGAACTGGAAGGTTCTTCTGTGGCACTGCTAACCTGAAGCTATTCTCTTACTGGTCTAACAAAGTAATGACTTATTTTTTTCCTTCCACAGATCCAGCTTCCAGGGGTGGGCAGGTTAATACTAAAAGCTCTCTCTCTCACTGATCTATTCATATGGTGCTATAATGAAAAACCATTAAGGACTGGGGAGGAATTTGGATTACTTGAAAGAAAAGCACTACAGGGCTGCAATTGCAAAATATTAATTATTATCATTATATTCTCAGCTAGATAATGTAGGTTTTGAAGAGCACGTAAAATGCTCTTTGCTCCTCTTCGCTTCTGAGGCTTCAGATTCTTGTATTTTCATGGAGGTGTCTTTGTTGTTGTTGTTGTTGCTGGCCACATCTTATCCATCAAGACTAAGGTTGGATGAGGACTCTGTTTTAAACAGATTTATACATAGAATTTGGCAGTTCTGGCCTAACTGAACTTTTTTAACATTCGACTGCCTCTTATAATAATTTATTATTTATACTCCGCTCATCTGACTGGGTTGCCCCAGCCACTCTGGGCAGCTTCCACCATATATAAAAATATAGTAAAATATTAAACCTTAAAAAGCTTCCCTAAATTATTATTATTATTAGTAGTAGTGTTAGTAGCAGTAATATTATTTATTACTCTTGTACTGAGTACCCAGTTATGTCCAAGATACTTTTGCATTAACATTTCTTTAATTAAAAAGTGCTTGCTAGTTAAATTCAAACTTAAAAAGCTAAATTAAACATATATTATTTTTATATTATTTTGAACATTTGCTTACATCTAACCTCCCTGCAAACAAATAATAATCAGCACTCAATAAATAGCTTGTGTCATCTAACCTCCCTTCAAACTGTGTGCAAACAAATTGGAATGGATGTTCAATAAACATGTTTTCCGGATGCGACCTTGGTTCTGCAAGTTGCAACACTGCTCTGTTGTTCAGGAACTCCTCTCCATTTTCCCATAGTAACATTGCCAAAGTCACATAGTAAAGCTGTTCAGTGACTTGAGAGTGCCAAACATTTCCAGTGCACTAGTTCAACATTTATAAGCACACTGGGGGTACTTAGGTTTGTCTGATAATTCAGAATCTCTATTGTCAGCCAACAGAATAGAGACTCGCACTTCGTATTGTTGATAGATTTCCCCAATAAAATCTGAGCACACTTAATTTCCCCCCAGAGGAAAGAGTGTCACTTTACAAGTTCCACATCAGAAAGTTGCACAATGCTCTTCTTCCTTTCCTCTTTTTTATCCTCATTTTGTTGCATCCCCTTGGTAGCAACAAACAAGTGACACAAAGAGAAAATACAAGCACATCAGTTCCCTCGCAGTCCCCTGATTCTATCATCCCCATTCCCACTATCTTTTAGCACAGATTTAAAAACACATTTGTGGCTTCCCTCTCCCAAACACCTTTGTCCTTTCAAGGACTGATGGACAAAAAGAAATCTGAGAAAGTATCTCTTAAGTTCTAACATGGTTGTGTACCTTTCAGATACGCTCACCAGGGGCAGATACATAGCACCGATTCCCAGTACTCAGGGGAACACAGTGCTGGCATCTTCCCCCCTCTCCAATGTTAAAAGTATGGCACTTAATGTAACAACTTCATTTTTTAAAAAAGCACTGCCAATTCCCCAGTTCTGGTTTGGGAATATAGCACCTAACCCAAAGCAAGGGAAATATCCCCAGAGAAGCTGGATTTGATCCTTGGTGGAATAGCCCACCTATAAAAAGGAAAGCCAGCTACATGGAACATGTGTACTGCCTGCTGGTTGAATGACGACTGCTGTCCATGGCACAGATAGGCTGTCTGCCTACCCTGGAGACCATGTGTCTGGATATCCCAGTGACTGTACATGCTGGTGTTGATAGGGAACTCATCTGATCCAGTCAATGACAGTGATATGGATTGCTCCAGATCTACACAAAGGAGCTTTGTATTTTTCAAATATTATAGCTTCATTTCTGGAGCAGTTGGATGACTCTTGAAGAAGAGGTGCATCTAAAAAGTAGATGTGTAATGAAAGTGATCCCAAAAACCATTGCCAGAATTATCCTCTATAACTTGTGAACATAGACATTCTCCAATGCTTCTCCAACTCCTATGCTTGTGAGATTTTGGCATTTGATATTTGTCACTTGGCTACAATCAAGAGATTCTCCCCTGCCTATCGCTCTTTCATTCTGATGTCAAATAAAATCTGGATTGTAGAATTTAAAGTAGAATTTGGCCAGTGTTTACTAAATTTGAAACCTTCTTCCTGAATAGTGTCTTCTCACATTCTTAGAGCTATATGGATCATTTACTGGGAGAGCCTCAGGTAAAAGCAGAAAACAGAGCACAATCCAATATGTTAAATTCTCTTGTGCACATTGAGTCTTATTTAATCCCAACTGATGGCTCAATTGGCAGAGCATAAGACTTTTAATATCAGGATCGTGGGTTCAAGCACCACATTGGCTAAAAATATTCTTACATTGCAGGAGGTTGGACTAAATGATCCTTGTAGTCCCTTCCTGCTCTAAAATTCTATGATTCCTGGTTAAGTATGTTTAGGATTGCAGCTGTGACCAAGGATAACTGTGTGACTATGCGCCATAGACACCACTGTCTTCATCACACTACCTTCAACTCTCTCAGAAACAATAGTTGGCCTCTAGGCCTCTCCTGGACTTCCGGGTTAGCGCCATCGGCGAATGGCGGAGTTCCTCCGACTGGAGGAACTGGCTCCGTGGAAACTGGGTCTTCCCGCCGCGGCGAAGGTGGGGACCCGCTAGAAATCCCAGGCGGAGGAAGCCTGGGAACGTGGGGTTCGGCAGGGCACCAGGAACGCCCCCCTACTCACCGGGAACCCCACTTTGGGGCTCCGGAGTGAAGTGGGGTGAGCGGCGCGGTGCTGCAAACTGATTGCTACTTTCACGGAGTGAAGCCGCACAACCATTGCCGGAGAGCGCTGACTTTTTCCTGTGGACAATTGGATTTAAAACAAGTACCCGTGAGTAGAAACGGAAAATTGGATCAAGAAAATATCTTAATTTGGCACCGAAGCGGGAAGGTTCAAAACAGGAAGTCCGCCTTCCGCTTTTTGTATATAGACTGAAGCAAAAACCTTGTAAGCTAAAGCCTGGAAAGTCGTTAAAAAGTCTAAATTTCCTTCAGTTATAACTACTGAAACCCCTTGGAAGCAGGAGAAAAGGGGGGACTTTGTTTAACGCCTGCAGGAGAGGGAGTGAAGAAAGATAAGTTTCCACCGTCTCTAACCTGGGAACGGGGTGTCAGAGACAGAAATTGTTGGAGAGGTTCATTGACTGTGAATGGAATACTTTGACAGATAGCTAAAGAAGAGAAATAAACTGATTCCAATGTTGCCTTTTGCATTCTAAAGAAACAAAATATCTGAAAAATGAAAGTAATTTTCCTTTGTTGGACTTGCCTTAAAAAAATGGATACAAATAGAAATTGTCTCCTCTAGAGGGAGCTTGCTAAATTGTTGCTGCAGTCTACTTGAGGACTCTACAGCTGTCAGATTAAGATCGTGGGACCAGTCCTTTTTGACCTTGACTAAATATGAGCTGGGAGGAAGTTTTGGTGCTTGCTTTATGCAAGACAAGTGCCTTGTTGGAACAGATGCATGAGAAGATGGATTTGATGAATGAGAAAATGGATTTGATGACTGTTGTGGTTAATAACTGTGGACAAACAGGGAATATTGATACAGAAACCATTCAGGGACCAACTCAGGAACCTGTACTGATTGGGCAAGTGCAGAAGATAATGGAGGAGGTTGCGGTTGCACCTCAAATAATACAAATGGAGAGACCCGAGGCCCTACAGGAGCATAAGCCGCTGTCTTTGAAGATTGAAGTTGGAGGGGGCCAGGGGGAGTCTGGAGCTGAGGAGGTTCTTAACTTTGGAGAGACCTTGAAATATGCTTTTAAATATTTTTTGGACTACATTGATGACTGTGGGGAGTGGGACTGTGGGGAATGGGCTGGTTTGATGAAGGGAGACGGAGATAATTTTGGGTTGGAATCCCCAGAGACCTACTCCCCAATGAGAAAGGAAAGAAATTAAGAAAGAGACCAACAAAAGACAAGGAAAAGTGCAAGTATAAACAACAAGAAGAAGATCTGCAGAAGGGACATGGAAGAGACTTAAGGGCCTCGGACATAAGATTACCAGGTTGATGGACTAGATGGAATGGACAGTAAGGACTGACACGACCCGAGACCAGGAAGAAGAGACGTTGGATGAAGATTGGAAGAAAATTTATAAAGAATTTTTTTTTCTAGGGAATTAGCCTAAAATTAATGAATATTAGGGAAAATGTTGGAATGAAACTATATGACTCTAGTAGAAATGATATCAGGAGTTATGTATAATTGAGTATTAAGCTTTAAGCTCTAAAGTATTTTTTTGGTAAGATAAGGTTAAATAAATTAAGGTAATTTGAATAACAGAATATGGGGAAAAGATGGAAAGGATTTGTTGAGTTAATTAATAGGTTAAATTGTTAAGATAAATTATTTAATAAAAATTGAGAAAGATGGAAAGAATTTGCTGAAATAACTAATCAAACTAGAATACAAAAAGGGAGGTGTGAGGAGGTCAATGAAACAAGCAAATGGAAGTTAAAGATATGTAATATGGGATTTGTGTCTTTTTTTCTTTCTTTTTTATCTTTTTGCTGTATTGTTGCATTGGTTTTTATGTTTTGCTTTTTTTATTCTTTTTATGTATTGTAGTGTTGTTTTTAATTTTTTTCGTTCTTTTCTGTAATTTTGAAATTATTAATAAATATTATTTTTTTAAAAAAACAACAACTGGTCTCTAGGCACTAGATCTTCTTATCTCTAGGAAACTTGAGAATGGAAGAAATGCTATGATTGTAAACATAGCAGAATTGCTTCCCTTCCCCATTTCATAAAGCCCATGGATATCTCACCACATGTTCTGTGATTCCTCTGTAGGAAATGAGAATGCAAGTTCAGCCTCCATCACAGACTTCCTTATATGAGAATAATTTCAGGAGCCAAACTTGCGTACAGGGAAGCTTTAGTGAAATTGGGTATAACTTCACATTGGGAATCATAGCAATAAGATAAATGGCTGCCATGGACCTAACACATATGAATAATTCTTACAGATGTGAGTAATATCACAGGAATCAATGGGCCGTCTTATGAGTTGCAGAGACTGAGTACTGTGTTTTGAAACCGTTATAGGGGAAGCAAAAAGAACGAACATCTGTCAGTCTTGCAAACACATTTAACATCAGAGTGATTATACAGTGCTGAGCACCTTCCGTGGGTGTTAATATGCAAAATCACTGGCATTGTGGAGCTTATGATATATACCTTGCACATATGCCTTTCAGAGTGGGGTAATAAAATGTAATGTATTTGCCCTTTCATGCTTCATCACTGTTTGAACTGTTGTGATCCTTCCAAGTTTAAATATTTCCTGTCTTCTCAGAGAACAAATTCAAGGGCATCAGATTATTTGGCAGCCATTCATTTTGAAACAAAGGCGGCTGCTTGGTATCAGAAAGATGGAAGATGCAACACACACACACAGGGAGAGAGAGAGGGAGGGAGGGAGGGCCTTCTTGACATTTATTGGAACATGTCAAAGCCCCTCACTGATACTCTCCTGAAAGGAATACAGCACTTTTGCACTCAATGACTCTCCCTTTAATTGAAATCAATTTGATAAAAATGCACCTCTGTTTCCTCTCACACAGTGCTTCCGCCCGATGCACACACACACAAAAATCTAATTCTGAAAGTGAAGCAAGGCCTACCGTCAATATTATAGGCACCTCAAATCAATGCTGCTGTTTTTCTTCCATTCCAGGTGCATATGCACATGCCACAAAATATTTCCTATATACAACAAAATTAGACACAGGACTTTTTAATATATGGTCAACGAAATACCATATTGTCAATGAAATCTTAGATCTGGGGCTGATGGAACTTATAGTCTACACTATCTAGAGCAGGCATAGGCAAACTCGGCCCTCCAGATGGTTTGGGACCACAACTCCTATCATCCCTTGCTAACAGGACCAGTGGTCAGGGATGATGGGAGTTGTAGTCCCAAAACATCTGGACAGCCGAGTTTGCCTATGCCTGTCTTAGATCTTCATTACAGAGTAGCTGATCAGGGTTACCATTTTGGCTCAGGGCTAGAATTGATGTGATGTTTGTCATGTTGTTTGGCTGATACAATGCATGCAGAGCTGATTGTTGTTACATAAATAGCCAGCATGGGGGGGGGGGGCAAGCCAGTTTGGGACCATGGTATGGTGTTGTGGGACCGCCTCTGCTGTGGTCCTCAGTAACATTCGTTTGCTTATATGGAGCATGAGTCTGCCTGGGACCCTTCTTCCTTCTCTTCTTCTCTCTTCATCTTGGAACTCTCATAAAGATGATAGCTAGGCACAGCCTAAACCAATTAATGTGTTTATTAGGACCAACCAAAATGTCACAAAATGCTCCCTGTCTGACATTTTGGTGGGTCCTAATAAAGGTATCCATCTTCTGTGGCTTTTGGAACTCTCAGGGCTGCTTCAACTGGGCATGCTCATTTCAAGAAATTGAAGCTGGTGGTGTGGCAATCATTGGCCCTCAGGGAGACATAATTTTGTGGATTGTAGGGACAACTTTTGCTCCAGTGCTTATTTCTGTGTAAAATGTCCTGAGTGAAGTCTCTGCCACTGTAGTAAGCATCTACCACACATGCCAAGTTCAGGCTAGCATATAAATAGTTGTTCACAAGAAAATGTATTTGAACGGCAGTTCAGCAATCCCTTACAGGGTTCAGTAAGTAACTGGAGAAGAATATTTTAGACCTAGGGAGGGGAATCAACATTAACTAGTGAAATGTCACCTATTTCTATTGTGCCATGGTCAAGTGTGAAGAGCTGCAGGGGATGACTTCAATGTTGCTGTTCTAAGAAGGTGGATGGTTCTAAAGGAACTCTGTACTCAGACTTCCACATACTTTTTAGTGCCTATTAATATCAATTGTTTCTGTGATCTGCTATGGGGCTAGCTGTCCCATCACCCACAGGCAGCTGAGACAACCCACCTGTCAGTCAAATTATATCATTATGAAGTCAGGTGAATGACCGATGGGTTGCCCCACCCACCTGAAAAATTTCTTTGCACAGTACTTCACATGTGTCTGACAGCTAGTTGACAGACAATTAGGAACCCCACTACAGGAGGGTTTAAGGTGTGTTGGTCTGACACAGTCGAAATAAATAAGAAAAAATAAAAAAATTGTCCAGTAGCACTGACAAGGGGGCTTGTCAGCCGTATGCTTAAAGCATAGGGCAGGCAAAGTGGCTTTCTGCAAAGATCAACCATACAATCAAGTTGCTCACACAGCTGACCCAATAGGGTTGAATTCCATGCCCATCAGCTAATGGGTGTTGACTTCAATCCTGTTTTATTCC